GAACAGGCTCCGCAGCCTCCATCAGAGCCCGAAGTTTGCTCTCGTAGGTAACTACCAGTGGTCAGTATCGAATATCCATTTCCCATGTCACACTTGATGGGCTCCACGTGGAATAAGATTAGACCTAATTCACAAACATTCTGTCAGTGTTAAATACAGTGTCTTTGATTATAATATCAGTTTTAGTATTATTTTTTCAGAAGTGTACTTCTACGATATGCTAATAAAAGGCCAAGCAAGCAACCTCAAGGTTCAGAAATTGTCATAAAGAGAAATATGTGTCCTTTTACTTTGTAGTCTATTGTCGCGACTCTGCCTATGGAGCAATGCTTTGTCTCCATGTTGCTCGTATCGAGGATGAACGGCGTGCGGGCAGGTATGCTGAGGTGTAGGTGAGCAAGGAATGTGCACGCAACAACTGCGAGGCCAAAACTGACCGTCGTGCCAATATAAAAGGGGCAGTTTCATAGCTGTGGGTGGGAACAGAAACTGACGTTGACTTCACTAGTGTTTTACATTTTCTACTGAAGTTAGCCTCAAGGGCACAAGAAATGACTTTCACGAGCTAAGGCACTAAGGTCACGAACTGCCACACATGTAAATTTAATGGCCTTTGACCCGACAATGTCAAGAACAGTGACATTTGAAATGCAAAAAATTTTATGCTGTTATAAAATATAAATGCGAATTTTAACCGCTATAACCTGCATTTAAGAATAGTGAAATATAACAGTAAGCTGTTATGTTGCCATTAGCTTGGGTTTTTCTTGTTTTTTTACAAAATCTCACCGGGCCACAGCAACTTTAGCCATTGCATGTTAAATCCAAAGCCTAGAACATGACATAGTGCCTGTCATGTCAAAGCCATCGCAGTTCCGAAGTTTTTCACTATGGTGCAACAGGGATGCAACATACTTTCTCTTAAAAATTCATGTATAGAAAATTTTTGACACCATAAATGCTACTTAAAATGTCTTATATGCTCTGCACTAAGTAAGCTTGGACATCAACAGTACACATTTTTCAATCGAATGAGTTCTAGCAAAGGCATTAGGTGATGAATGGCATTAAGGCGAATGCCATTGCATTTGCCCATGTGGTACCCCACCAGTGGCATTGGACCTTAAGGCATTAAAAAGGTAATGCCACTTTCAGTGCCCGCGTGGCAAAAATATAAAACAAATGCTTGTTTTTCCCGAAGCCAGAGCATTCCTGGACTAGGCAGCAACCCCACCTTGGGTGATACTGGGCTGTATACAGTTTCCACAAATAAATGTTTACTTCTCTGCCTTTGAGGCAGTTGTGTTGTTTCCTTCATATCTCAAAAGCAACAAAGTTTTTCAATCTCTGCATGTCCTTACATGAAGTCAGACTTTGTACATTACGAGGATCCTGAACACTCAAGGGGTGACATCAACTCGTGTGATGTCTATGTTGGTTTCATGAAGGACATCCAACACCAGAAGGTAGCGAGCATTTCCCCCCTTTACGTTCGATCTACAGACTTTTTTTTTTTTTTTGTGGCTTTCTATCAACTTCTCTTCCTGATTGCATTGAATGCCAGATGATTTCTTGTTGAATTTTAATAGGCTGCGAATCTCTTTTTCTTTTTTCATACTTCATTCTTAAGAAAAGAGAGATGTTAGTTTGCCACTGTATTAGGCAGATATCTTCCACTGTCTGGAGTGATAAAGGGAAATGTGCACTTACATGAAACAGAAGAGTGAATCACCCTGAAGAAAATGTGAGGGAAAGAGAATTAGTACTAAGCATTGTTGCTCTTAGCATCTATTGTCTCCAAGCGCTCACTGCCATGAGTACTGAATGGGAGGTGTCAACAATTATTCTTTAATTTCATTCTTGCAGCTTAGTAAACATAGTGCTAGGCTATTGCTGTAATGGACCTGGTTTCATAAGGAGTCACATATTTTTTTTATAAGGCAGTATACAGGGTGAGACAGATTTACCTGCCCACTGCGAATTGTCTTATAAGAGGCAGGCATTGCTCCTCATTACTATTGCAAAGCGAATTCGCTGCAGTACTTAGTTTCTTTTGGTCTGCAAACATCCTGTGCATTGTTCTTTAAGTGCTGGTTATTGAGGTGGAGGAAATAAAGTTATCCTAAACATCACGATTGCAACAAAAGGCCTGTTTGGTCATCAGCATGTGCAAGCCTTTGCATGCCACCAACATTACTCCATGACAAACTCAAGTACACTACAAAACCAAAACCCAGATTGCAGTTTCATTGTTGTAATACCAATGCATTTGTTTTTAGAAGCTGCTATACGAATATTTTGCTATGAAGTTCAGTTTTCATGCTGTTAAAGGTGCCTTGTAACACTTTTCCAAGTAATCAACTGACTTCATAAAAAAGTCTATTAACTTCATGAATTGACTTCTACATGAGTTTTTAGGATCTGTCAACTGCAAGGAAGTTGCAGGGATTTCTCACATGCTCTTGATTTGTCACATGCAGAGATTTCTCACTCTCTCTCTCCTTTCGTACCAGCAAGCGTGCTTAAAGCTATGCAGGAAGAAAAATGACAAGACAGCAAGAAGATGAGCCCTTCCGTTAGTGTACACCATAAGCTCGAGCGGATTCTTTTCTTACTTTGTTAGGAAGGTGGAGCTTGATTCCAACATGATTTTGAGCCCGCACGAGCATGCCCAGATCAGCCAATGGCTGTAGCCTTTGGGTATATGGCAGAGTAAATTAGGTGTATAGCATTATTTTTTTAGAAGAAGGAGAGATATCTAGCTGACTTTCAAAATTCTCTATTCCAGGCCTACCGATTGTCAGCACTTTCAGGCCATGCTCAAAAACATTGCAGGGCCTATTTTAAAGTTGTGGTGAATCACTCCTTGGGCTTGGCGATTCGCATTCTGCAAAGAGCAAACAGCTCAGCCAAATTTTGTTGTCACGTACTACACATGGAGCTTACAAGTCCAGTGCTAGGTAGCCACTTCCTCATGCCCCATCTTTTCACACATGTAGACCGATCCTCACTCTCTTCAAAGCTTCTGGCAGCGGCTCTGCTTAACACATTGCTGCTATTGGCCGATAATCAATATAAGCAAGGAGCAGCGCCTGTATCCGATGCGGTTCTTATTGTAACCCGTTATTCTTGTAGCGCGGGCTGAGGTACTTTTATTTTATTAACAATTTTTTTTTCTGTCTTTTACACCACTATAACTATTGTAACTGTTTGACCACCCTGCTTTAGTGCTGTAAAGAAACTAAGCAGCACCTTTAATATAAACTGAAATCACACAGGGAGCTTTGCAACGTGTTCTGGTGTAGATTCTTGCCCCTCTGTATTCCCCTTCTCCAAGCCTGTCAGGACTAGAGAAGGGAAAAAAATGCTTAAATCTTGTGACTTGTACTGGATGGATGCGAAGAATTTTTCGCGGCAATTTAGTCCCGAGGCAATACATTCCGAAATTGAGGTCCTTCAATGGTTATTTGATGAAGTCTTGTGGACTACTTTGAGGTGAAGTGTTCAAGTGAATGCCTACTTGAAATTTTAGTATTGTAAGAATTTATGTGTGGGATGTTTGTATAATACTTGTATTTAATATCTGTACTAATATTTGTATTTAATTAGGGCTGAAATAGCTTGGTCGTGTAAAGAAGCAAAATACATGTTAAAGAGGTAATCGTTTTAGGATAGAAGGACAATGGCTTGGTAAACATTTCTGCGAATACAGGCACCGTAACCTAGTTGGACTATAAAAATAATCGACACTATAAAGGCGCCATAAAATTGGTTCAGGGGCCACATTTCGATATCTAACATTTGCCTATGCTTCTAAAGATGCACGATCATTGAAAACAACTCACAGGTTCTATTAGGTGCGAAGTACCCAAGGGGTAGGCTTGTTGATGTGTAATGCAGTCATGGTCCATCATAAAATGGATATGTGTTGAAAGAAAAAGAAAGGGTAAATCTAACCACTTGCCACGGGTACACTAAAAATAAACACAACAGTTGGCCCAAAAAATAGTTGACTTTAGTGAAGCTGAAACAACCTTATCTACATGCCGCTATAGAGAACTGCAACCGGGCACATAGGAAAAAAAGGAAGCATCTCGGGATGAGCTTCTAACACAGCTTTTCAATGCATCAGTGCAGAAACACCCTTCTCTACATGCCCAATATCAGGCTTGGCACTCTTGGTGCCTCATAAAAAATATCTCCCCAGATTTCACTTTACTTAAACGCCGTTCCCTACATGCTTCGGCCCTCCCCAGTTGCAAAGCTCCTTAAGATGTAGTCTTCCGGTGTGGTCACGGTGCCGAACCATTGCTGTAGCCTAAACGTGCGAGACACACACACAAAAAAAAAGGCTCCACAATTGACTTTACCGTAGATCGCTGTTCCAGGCAGGAATAATTTATCTACAAAAGTTGATCTCTACTAAAATGCGCCTAGATGTCGAGACTTCTCGTGGAAACTTGAAACACAATGGCACACGTCGAGCGCCGCATCTTCTGACAAATCACCCCTATTAAAATGGTATCTTGCCACGGACAAGACGACTGGTTTTTGGTTCCCTTTTATCCACTTTGGAGGCACATCCTCCACTCCGGCAATTTCCTAAATCTTCCTTGAATTGCCTAAGATGACAGGAAGGCGAAATAAATTTACATTTCTGTACACACTATGTCACTCAACTTACATTATATGGGACAACGCATGGTTACTCATCTTCAGTTCAGTTCAGTTTATTACCTTAAAGGCCCCCCTTTCTAGGAGGGGCATTACATAAGGGGTATACATATCTATACAATACCCAGAGCTTCGTCCACTCGTCGTGATTCACTTTGTGAAGATGCATAAATTTTTCTATTTTATCCTCTTTCTACTCACTTTCTGTTACAGCCCTTGTTGATAATGAAGTGCATAGAGGATTCAAGCAAGAGAAATTCATATGTTATGGCAGCCTAGGTTCTTCATTTCTTTTCATCTAATGCGTAAAGACACATTAAAAGATGTTTCAAGAAAACGGGAACATTTGCTGCAAGTTTATTAAGATCAATATTCATGGCACCCGCTAACTTGCAGCGGCAATCTTTGGCAATGCAAACAAGAAATGCAACAACAGAGACGCACACATGAAACGCACAAGGACAGATTGGATTGGTCCCAGTCACACACATGCACCACATTGACACACACATGTCCACGGCATTCGCACTTCACCTAGCCTCATAGTCTGACTTCGTTACACTAAGCAAATGTGATGGGTCTAGATGGATTGAGTGATTTTGCGAATCTTGACCACTTCATGAGGGTCGAGCGAGAATGGTATCCTGGCCAGAAGGTTGAGTGCCCGATCTGCACGGTCCCGCTTGAACAACTCTTCCACAACTGCAGTGTGCACTAACTGGGAAATCTCGGTCACGGCCTCCCTTTTGGTGATGCTGTCACTCTCTATACGCTTCTTCAGGTTAACGAGCTTCTCGGCATGAGAGCCGCACACATCCAGAATGTGTAGGCAGCTGATCATGTCGAGGTCTAGTAGAGCCGAGTGCAGGGGAGCTGCCACAACTCTTTGTACAAGGTGCAGCCACATGTCTCCTTGAGTCTTCCACACCTCTTTTGGCATCCAAAGCAGGTTCCCTGTCGATGTGGTGAAGAGTCACTTCGTCAGAAGCTGCCTTGACATCCCCAGCTGCGACCGCACACAGCCTCTTCTTCGTGCTGCCTCTATTACCAAGCCCAGAGTTGGTGGTTTTATCGCTGCTTGCTCCCCTGGCTTCCAACACTGGCTGCTGCTCAATGATGGTTGCTTCTTCTTGGCGAGAAGTACTCTTGTTGGCCATAATATCACTGCCGAGGCCAACACTGTTCTCGTTGCTCGTATCCGGTCGCAGCGGCAATGCGGCCGCGACGACATTGCCATGTTCTCCTTCTGCAGGTTCGTTTTTCAATGCCTCTTCTCGGTGCCGATTGCCGCTGAAACTATCACTTAACGTGGCGTAAGCTGACGGTTGGAACAAAGGTAAGCTCGAATGGGCTTTAGTAGGAGAGGCTCTGTTGAGTTCTTCGGCTGGCACCTGATCAAGTGTTTCACAACCTGTCTGAAAATCACCTTTGTTGGCACCTTCAGAGTGCAGTTTTTGTATCGGCTCCGAGCCTGCAATAGGAATCCCTTCCTTTTCCTTATTAAGTGCACGAGCATGTTCTGCTTGCCATTGAAGAACTTCACGAGTGGGTTGGCAGATGTCTATGCTTGGTGCACTGTCGTGTAATTCACCAGTCGGTCCAGATTCCAAGCATTTGACTGCTTTGTCTTGCTGAGCAGGCACTGGACTCGACATTGGCTCTTCCGGCCCCTGGAAACTGCCTCCCGTAGCTGTGCTCCTGCAGAGATCATCTTTCGCATTGCTTGAGGCTACATCAACAAGTTCCTTCAACAAGGCTCCGATAGTTGTTTCTTCAGACTTGCTGACATACCCTTCGCCTACATTGGGACGTTCACTGCTACATTTTTCTATTGTAACTTTAATATTGCGGAGAGGCTTCTGTATTAAGGCAACTTTTTCTTGGTCTATCTGCTGATAATCGTCGTGACTAGCCTGAAGTGTGCAAGTATTTGTACCTTGTTTGTTCGGATTGGAACAGTCACTTGCTGGGTCTTTTGACGAAGCCTTCTGCTGATAATCGTCGTGACTAGCCTGAAGTGTGCAAGTATTTGTACCTTGTTTGTTCGGATTGGAACAGTCACTTGCTGGGTCTTTTGACGAAGCCTTCTGCTGATAACCGTCGTGACTAGCCTGAAGTGTGCAAGTATTTGTACCTTGTTTGTTCGGATTGGAACAGTCACTTGCTGGGTCTTTTGACGAAGCCTCGTCTAAATAAAGCTTTTGAGGGTGACTTAGATTGACTGTGGAAGGCATTTGACTGTTACTGTGCGAGGTATCAGCCACCATGTCACCAGCTAGACTTGAGGAAGTAGAACCTTCTAGAAGCCTGTCACTGACCTCACTGTGTCCTGTTACAACTAGTGCGTCAATGGCTTCCTTTGGTACAGAACCACTGCTGTCACCTTGGGCATTTTCGGACCTGCTTTGCTTAGGTAAAGACACAACACTGACTGCACGTGGACTAACTTCGGCATTTGTCGGAGGCTCAGTGTGTCCCCTTGTAGATGATTCGTTGCTGCATTCCATTTGTAGGAGACCCTTTTGCAAGGGTGCAGAAGTGTTGATGCTTGATAAGTCCCTGTCATTTTTCTCTTGCGGATCACCGTCACCGTGAACTGTCCATATCTGCGAAGCATTTCCGTGCAAGAGATCTGATGGATGGCACGTGGAAGCCACTGTCAGTACATTGCGGGACGTGGCATCAGCAACAAACGATATGTTATCACGTGATTTGCTAGCAGTGTCACTCGCATCCTGTTGCTTCTCTCTGTCTTCTCGATGAATGGTCAGCCCATCAGCGACAGAGGCAAGGCACTCCTCCTCAGCACCGGCATCTACGCCTTTCGCGCCGCCACTGACATCTGCTTCAACATCGAGAGCATATGGGACACTAGTGTTGTGTTGCTCTAGAGCTTTAGCTGTGACTTGCACAGTAGACTTGCAAGGTTTACGCAAATCACTTTTATCTTTGTGCAGTTTACCTGTGGTGCATGGTGCACGTTCTGAGATGGCACCCACAATGTCGCTCAAAGACTCCCCGCTCACACATTCTGTTGTTGGAGCAGGTGTCTCGGTTGACATTACTGTGACTGCAGGGGCACCCTTGCCTGTAGTGGTACTCTGAAGGCTGCTTCGTTCCCCTGTAACTTCTGCGGCAGCCATCTCGACATTATTGGATGTGTGGTGCTCCTGTTTTTCTTTTTCGCAGAGCCCTTCGAAAGTGCTCGATGTCGAAGTAATCTCATCACTGTCAGGGACACTAACAGAAGGCTCGGCGCATTGCGTCAACTGGGCCTTTTCCTTCCGTATCTGCTTAGCATTTTCAGATGCCAAAGCATCACATGTGCCCCGTTGTTCATTCCCTTTTCTCTTGGGAGCATGTGACAAGATTTCAGCAGCTGCTGCATGGATCTGTGAACCGGAAGAACATTTCGGCACTTCTTGGTTGCTGGGGAGTTTGCTGCGACTAATTTTGACCTCTATACCAGCGGCAAACAACACTGATGGTTCGCTCTTTGCAGTCTCCTTGTTGGGTGGCACAACATCAAGTTTTCTTTCTGTGCTCCCGTTGGCATTTATATTTTCTACAGCAGTCTTTTTTGCAATCAACACAGAATTCTTGGCAGGTTTTAAGTGTTCTGTTTTGAGATCAGGCTGAGGCCTTTTATTTGTTCTAGGCGACGTCTCAAAACTTTGCTTTTCTGGTGCAGATGATATCAAAGCTTTAGCAGCTGCAGTGACAGCCGTTTTTAAGGTGCTCTTGGCACAGGACGCAGGTGTCCTTGCTGGTTTGGTCGACAATGCTGTCTTTGCTACTGCTGAGCTCACACATGTGCCAGGTTTCACCTTTGCTGAATCACTAATGGGCTTTGCCTTTGCAGAATCATTGCCTGGCTTTGCCATTCCCGATTCAGTAGCAGTTTTTATCTTTCCCGGTTCATTTGTGGGCTCCACCTTGGCTTTGTCATTAAAAGGCTTTTCAGTAGATAAAAGGGCTTTCACTGGAACGCTTTGGCCACTAGACGTGGTTACACCTGGAGTTTCCTCAGGAGCAGCTGGTCCATTCATACTTCTTTTGGGAACGGATGTTGGCAAGGTCTTTTTCTTGGCTTCTTGATTGGCATTTGCATCTGTCACACTTTTAACAGTCTTTGCAGTCGATGAATCTTTTGCAGGCACATCTGAACAACCAGACTTGCTACATTCCTTAAGAGGGTTTTCAGTAGACAAAGGGGCTTTCACTGTAACGCTTCGGCCACTAGAGGTGGCCACACCTGGAGTTTCCTCAGGTGCAGCTAGTCCATCCATACTTCTTTTGGGAACGGCTGTTGGCAGGGTCTTTTTCTTGGCTTCTCGATTGGCCTTTGCATCTGTTACACTTTTAACAGTCTTTACAGTCGATAAATCTTTTGCAGGCACACCTGAACAACCAGACTTGCTACATTCCTTAAGAGGGCTTTCAGTAGACAAAGGGGCTTTCACTGTAACGCTTTGGCCACTAGATGTGGCCACACCTGAAGTTTCTTCAGGTGCAGCTAGTCCATCCATACTTCTTTTGGGAACGGATGTTGGCAGGGTCTTCTTCTTGGCTTCTCGATTGGCCTTTGCATCTGTTACACTTTTAACATTCTTCGCAGTTGGTAAATCTTTTGCAGGCACATCTGAACAACCAGACTTGCTACATTTCTTAAGAGGGTTTTCAGTAGACAAAGGGGCTTTCACTGTAACGCTTTGGCCACTAGACGTGGCCACACCTGGAGTTTCCTCAGGTGCAGCTAGTCCATCTATACTTCTTTTGGGAACGAATGCTGGCAGGGTCTTTTTCTTGGCTTCTCGTTTGGCCTTTGCATCTGTTACACTTTTAACAGTCTTTGCAGTCGGTAAATCTTTTGCAGGCACATCTGAACAACCAGACTTGCTACATTCCTTAAGAGGGTTTTCAGTAGGCAAAGGGGCTTTCACTGTAATGCTTTGGCCACTAGACGTGGCCACACCTGGAGTTCCCTTAGGAGCAGCTGGTCCATCCGTACTTCCCTTGGGAACGGACGTTGGCATGGTCTTCTTCTTGGCTACTTGATTGGCCTTTGCACCTGTCACACTTTTAACAGTCTTTGCAGTGGGTAAATCTTTTGCAGGCACATCTGAATCACCAGACTTGCTTGCTGTGATGCTTGATCTGTCCTTTGTTGAATGTGCTTGTGTCTTCTCTAGTTTACCCGGCAACACTTTTTCAGTGACTGGTGAAGTTGTGTTCATAACTTTCTCAGTGACTGGTGAAGTGGTGCTTTCAATGGTTACTTCGCTGCTGGGCTTGGCATTTGTCACTTCTCCAGCTGTTTTAGTAGAGGATGATGCAGGAATGTTCTTAGAATTGCCCAAGGCGCTAGCAGGCTTGTCAGAGCTGCTCTTGCTACAGTGCACTGGTTTCTTTTCCCGCTTGTCTTTTTCCACTTTATTGACTGCTTCAGGGCAGCTCTTTTGTTGCACACCAGGAGAAGCACTTTTGGCCTTTTCTGTTGTTTCACTTGTGCTAGCCTTCACTTTAGTTGCAGGAGTTTCCTTCAAGCCACATGTTGCTGCGGTATTCTTGGTACGAGGTGACAGCTTGCTCGCTGATTTGGCTAATGGTGCTTTCTTGGTCAGCAGCGGGCTGCTGTTGCTTCGCTGGGTAGTGCTGGCATTAGATTCCACCTTTTCTTTAGCTGCATCAGCATCAGTTTTTGATTTTTTTGCACCAAGGTCCTTGCATGGCGTTCCAGATCGTTTAACTGCCCTCTTCTCCAACACATCTTTTGCAGATTCTGGGGCAGGACTTGGCTTGCTAGCGGGCTTTGTACTGGCAAGATTCAACTTGGCTTTACTCAGCTGATGTTTCGTGGCTGATATTTTTACAGAACTGTGTGCTTCTGGGGGCCCCTTCTTTGCAGCCTTATTCATTGGTGCTTTGTCCTTTGAGGTCACATCATTGCTTGCACTATCACTGGGCTTCAGACCAGTGGTTGTGTCCCGAGCTTTGGCAACTTTTAGTTCTGTGGCGTTGGCAACAGATGCACATTGACTCTCATTTTCTGAGAAGCCGTACTCATCAAGAGGCGTATCAGAGATGTCCTCTAAGTCATCTAGTGGTGTGCTTTTTTGCTTTTTGTGCGGAGGTTGGCCACCTTTACCCTCGGCTGCGGCAGTTTCCAATGGCTCACTCTTGTGCTTCTTGACTAGAGCTTGGGCAAGTTTAGCATCACCTCTACTCTTCTGTTTTGTGTGCCGTGATTCACGCGGCTCATTATTGGTTGCGCCTGCCTCTGTTTCCGCTTTTATAGATTTCGCATCACAGTACTCTTCCAGTGGGACATCAGAGATGTCATCGTAGACTTCCTCTTTTATCAGAGATCGCAACTTGTTCTTTTGTGTCAGATCACTTTTGTTACCCGGCTTACTGCCAGCTAGTGCAGCCATGCACTGTGGAGGCGAGTTGCTTCGCGTCACCCTGGCGGGAATGTGCTTTGAGTCGCTAACTGCAGACACCTTGGACTTGGCATCAGCAGGTGTTGAATTGCGCCCCTTTTCCTTCGAGTCGCTCTTTTTTGACATTTTCGAACGCGTCATAGCTCCGAATTCCGCCGAAAGCCACTCCAGTCTGTTAAGCCGCAGCAGGGGCACTTTCAGTTGCACTTGTTTTTGCACCCCACCGCTCACGTAGCTCACCGTTTGGGTGGTGTAGCATACGCTACGTCTGGCACCACCCCAGTCATTTTCGCCGCGGCTTGAAGATTTACGACCGACGGCCGCCTCCTTGCCCTGGACATTTCGGCTTTTTTTCTTGCGATCGTGGCGATGCGGCAAGGTCGGTGTCTTCTTCTCCCGATTATTCTCTCCCAGTTTCTTATGCTCTGTGTGCGATGCATTCGAGCTCGACTTAGGCATAGGCGATGACGGCAGTCAGGGATTTGACAGCTCGCGCGTAGGTAGCTCGAAGATAGGAGCGCCCCTCGCCTGGCTACGCGATGACAACGTTAACACTGCCGCACCGGGTAATATGACCGACGCTGTAGACTCGCTGGGATGACAGTTCTGCGCGAACACTCAGTCTACACAGTACTCACACTACACGATCAACCGCGAATTGACGCAGTACACACCAACGCGTTTAATGTGGAGCCAAATGACGGGCGCCGGTCACTTCGTCTTCGAACGACTTAGCGCGCGCGCACACACACCGACAAAATAATCACGGCGCTTACGGAGACGGTCGTGGCCGAATGGTCGCAAGGAAGCGCTTGCCTCGGTCGGAGAGAACGTAGAGATCTCGTGCAGCTTTAGCGCGAGATCGCTTAGGCCATCATCATCGGCGTATCCGCGTGCGTCCTTCGGGGCTGGTAAACACGCAGGCTCGACGCCGCCTCGCCTCTGACAGCGCTGCCCCCGCCGGCGACTTCGAAGTGCGCTGTGCGGCGGCCGCCGCACGAGCTAGCGTGTCGATCGGTTCCTATTCGGCACTGCAGTCACCACGGCGGGAGCCCCGCGAGAAGCATTGGTTTCGCTCCGGCGCATCGCTCTAGTGCTACATGTCGGCACGGTGCCTTGCGCAGTCGAAAGTCGACACAAAGGGGCGACGAAGCTGGCCGCGCAACCGCGGCGGCGGGTGGTGCCCACGAAGCGCCGCTTTTGACAGCAGGCCGGAGGCCGGTAGGTTATCGTAGCGTACCGTGTAGCGACGGCTTCGCAAGGCGCACGAGTCCTATTTGAAAAGACGAGCTGGTTATTCCTCACCCTTATGCGCGAGACGACGGGTCACACGAGCAACACAACCGCTGCGGCGGTCTCCCTTCTAGTCGAGGCGGCAGTGATGCCAACTCGAGAAAACGTTTTATCCCTAGAAAGACCCTCGAAATTTCCTTAGAGAACAAGAAAAAATCCCTAGATTATCTTTTCTCTCTGATTATTCAGATAATTGAGTTCGCGTTGTGGGCATGCTCGTCCTAATCTTGCTAAGACAAAATAGTACCGATAATTCACACTTAAAGGTCTTTTTTTTTTTTTGCGTGCTCTGTATATTTGCAAATAAAACACTGGCAGATGGCACCAGTTGCCACGAAGACAAAATTTTCTTTCAAGACGCATTAAAAGGCATAGATGTGATTATTCAGGTCAACTGCAAGTCTTTAGCGCCTTTCCTGTATTTGGAGTTGTGTGGTGGGAGTCTATTCCTAATTTTGCACAATTGCATTTCCAGATGTACGTAGGCCCTCTTTCACTGGCTGATAGCTACGCCTTTCTTCTGTAGTTTCGATCAGCTCCCCATTTGACCAAATACTTTCGTCACTTCTTCGCTCACTTTTAAAGGGCGTGGTGGAAGGACTGCTGACACCCGCTCAGTCTTCTATTCTCTCTTCATATGCCTCCTACGCAATATTGAACGCTAAACTTGACACGTGTTTATGTGCACTTTAAGAAAAATATAATGTTTGTTTCACAGAGCAACAATCACTCGGGGCGCTCATAATATGTGCGTGCATGCTTAACTCTTACGATGTCAGAACTTGATTTTCCCCCACTAATTCAGCATATACTGATTTTGCGTGGTCCAGCGTACCAAGACTCTTCAAAATGAAAACCAAGAAATAGCACAATTTATAGTTTTTGCAGTTTTTCTAGTTGAAAGAGTGTGATTACAAAGTTATGCCTCTAATCGGGCCGCGTAATGTGACATATCCAGAGCCTTTAAAAAATCCTTAGATTCAACAAAGCCCCTGAAAGCAATGAAAAATCTTTGGGTCTCGGGATAAATCCCTAAGGTTGGCATCACTGCTAGACAGTCCAGAGCTCAAAGGAGGATGAGGGGCATCGTGTCCTTCTCTCTTCTGGTGTCGTCTTCTCTCGCCTGAGGCAGACGCTTTCTCCTCCGACCGACTTGGCTCGCCTAACAAAAGGCGGTTGTCCCTCTCATTGAAAGGGCTTTACACGGTTCTTCTGCTGCCTTGGTGAAAGAGCTTCTGACTACCTTTAATCTTTCTCTTTTATTTGCGGGCGCGAAACAAGCTGTTGGAAGCACAGGAAAAATGTGGGCGACGCATGAGGAGGACCTGAGCGAAGAACACAGGCGTTTATATCCGAGCTTGTTTTAGTTTTTTTCTGAGAAATATTGACCGCGTACGACATTTCCGCGCTGTGTGTCGTGTACTGTCGATGATGGTAACAATTGTAATTTGGTTTCAGGGCAGGAAACCCCTGCTGTTACTACGTGCTGCAACAGTTGTCAACGGTGCCGACTGAATGTGAAAAGAAAAAAAAAAACTTCAATGACGTAGAATATGCAAGGAGGGCTCAAAGTACATTCGCAAGGGAGCGCAGTTCGTCTCATCGCGCAAGCTTTTTTTTTTTTTTTTGCTGTCTTTGTCTGACGCGTCACAGGTACACACGAACAGACACACACAAAAAAGTTTATCAGGGGCGCCCTTTATGTCACACAGCGATAATCGTCATCTATCTCGCTCTATCGCCTTGCGCACCACACAAGCAGGTCACGAAGAGCGTGGGCGATATCAATTTTTGACATATCACACTGTGGCCAGCGCCGAGTTCTCGATAAAATAAACGTGAGAGACTGGGTCGGACTGGTGTTGTGTGGCAAACGTTGTTTATTTGCGCACCAGTATTGCGCAGTGATACCAAATTGTTATCGAATGTACCTATTAGAACATTTGTGTGTGTGTGGAATAGTTTATGCCAGCGACAAATTGTACGTTTATTTTATTTCTGAATACATACGCGTGTCTATAGTGTTTTTATTTTCTATACTTAGTTTGCAAAATGTAACTGGCATATTCAGTGTGACCCTCTTATTTCATAATTATAGCGTATGATTTTGTGTTTGTTAGTACAACAAAGAAAACACTTAGAATGTACAACGTAGGCGTATTTGTTAGCACAAATGCGCTTATTGTTTAATTTGTACCGCATCCACTGGTATGATGTATGGGGGCCCGAATACCCGTCAAGTGTACAGCGCGTCACTTTTTGTTCGGGTGCCCTCTTTTTTTTTTTTTGCGTACGGCAAGAAAAATAGAATAAAGATTGATATGACTAGAAAGGGGTGGGCGGAAAATGCTGTCATTTAAACAGCTTGACGAAGCCGCGCTCTCCACATGCTCGTAAAATGTGTTGTTGCTCCGACCTCACATTCGGAAGTTTATTATTATTTTTTTGTACGCTGCTCAATAGCCGACAGGAATTTATGGGAAATGAATGACTGAAAAAAAAAATTGTATTTGTCTGAGCACGTAGACTGAACAATAAACTATAATAATATCCAATGTTTAACGTTACAAAATAATGATATGGTTATTAGTAAGGCTCTGTGCTTTCGGATAAATCCGAAAAAAAAAAAGATCTGATAAGCACTCGCCGATAATTTTTTTTTTTTTTTTGCAATTTGGATTTACCCGATAAGCTCCGATTCTAAGGGGAAATATTTTCCAAGCTGAAAAACGTCAATCGAAAGGATCGCACCTCCATCAGCGGCAGCAATCCCGAGAAGTATGCTTGCGGAGGTATTTCGTATTCAAGTATTTAAGGTTGTTTGTATGTGTTTGCGCGTTCAAACCTTGCAGCCATGTCAAATGCATGTAGTCTGTTGACGTGTTTCGCTGTTTAAGTGTGTCATTTTATCCAACATTTAGTAGTATTTAGAAGAATAATAGAGATATTGAAGGGGCCTTTATTCTTCATGAAGATGAGCGAGGCTGAAAGCAAATGCCGAATATAGGCCTGAAGTGCACTTTGCCGAACTTACAGCTGGCTAAATGAGCAGGAAGTGACAAAAGATGAAGAGATGAAAAAAAGTTATGACCTACAGTGCTTATCTTATTATACGCTTATATTAAATTAAACGCTTCTTTTCGGAGAACTGGAGATTTACGAGAAATAAATTACAATAAACGCCGAACTTCGTGTAAAAAAAATCGAACTCTGAAAACACAGTGTGCGAGTAGTAAACTGCTCTTTCACGGTACAAAAAACACCACGCTTGCGGCGAGAAGGCGCTTCGGGAAGTGAGAAAACACGCAAAAGGGAAATGTGTGTGGCGACGCCACCTTAAAGTTTCCGCACCGTTCTCCGTGACGCCACGTATTCCGACGGAGCCTGTTACAGCGTGCCTATATAGCTCTTAATTGGTAAAAGTGGAGGGTCTTCTGAGGGGGGCCATAAACTTAGCATACCCACTTTGAGGAATTTCGTTGATTCTATGGTGCCGGAATACGATAAATACATTGTGTAATCCCTGACGTCACGCTCGGAGTATTCGGCATAAAATTTAAAGAAAATGAAACTTTCGAGCTTACTTTCTTTTCCATTACTAGACCTATAACAGGAAAATTAACGTCATCAGAGTTATCGGAGTACAATTTATCAATCTAAACAAATTCGATGTTTCTCTTTGGTGTTCATTTAAAGTGAACTGACATCGCACCGTACTCGGGCCTCTACCATTTCGTCTCTATCGAAATGCGACCGCCGCAGGCGGTATCGAACCCGCGACCTTCAGGTCAGCAGCCGAGCACCGTACACCACCGCGGCGGAGGTAGACTAACAGAAGAAAGAAAATGTGCGTAAACGAGTAAGAAAAGTCAGAGGTGTCATTCATATAACAAAAAAAAAAAGTCACAGCTTTGCCGCAAAGGCGAAGCAATGAATGCGATAGCAACAAATCGGAAAGTCATACGCACAATGGCAAGGAGATCGAAACGTGCCTTGCGTTTCTCACGCACAAATGACGCACGAAACGTACTCAGAGGTACAGATGAACGCGAATAAGCGTCTCGGTTGTTACTTCGCCCTGTTTGAAAAGCGCGCCCTTTTCGCAAACGGAGGATGTGCAACGATTGCAGTGACCTTTGTGCGCCCGGTAACAATACGTACGATGCGTACAATACTCCCCACTTCAAGACAAGGGCGCGCAAACGAGCGTACACCCCCTTATTCTCTACGCGGGCCAAAGTACTCGTGAGAGATGAAAACCGCCGCGCGTTCACTGCGCCAGCTTGCTGATAATGCTGAAAACACGATAGTTAGCTTCCGAAATGCCCGCTGACAGCGGTAAGTAGTATATATAAATAGCTTGCCGTTTGAGCGTTGAAGAAGGTACTCCTCGGTGGCTCTGTGGTTAACACCTCGCATTCACGACGCGGAGGCCCCACGTTTGATTCCGCGCGCCGGGGTACTTTTTCTGGATTATTATTTTTTTTCTTTTTTTGCGTTTTCATTTATATAGATACGTCTGCATATGCGGTGCATGACATCGACGCCCACGTCGACGCCGGCGGCGAAGTCCAGCCGAGAGTGTCCATATAGTTGTATCGCAATAATAATAATAAAAAAACACCATCTCTTGCTAAAGGGAACCATGCGAAGCAGCGGGCGCTAATAAAGGCCGTTTCACATGACACAAAAAGTAGTGATTTTCAGTCTGCGAATTCGCTCGCAGCGGGAAAAAAAAAAAGGTAGTTCGCTTTCGCCGCAGCAGTCTGCGCTGAGCTACCAACATGTTGGAAAGTTTCGCTCTGATGGCAGCGGCGAGAGCGATTTCTGTTCGGGACCCGTCGAAATATGGTCGGGCCAGCCAAGCTGTCGAAATCGCGTCGAGGTGTTTGTTTTGGTAATGGCCGTTGTGGCGCATTTTAAAGTGTAGTTAGATTGGAAAGCGTTCTTAAATAACGAAACACAAGTGCTCTTCGTTGCCGTTCATGGAAAGTTAATAATATCATGACGCACAGATTGTT